ACAACGATGCCAGCTTTTAAAAACAAAACCCAACGGGGTGTATAAAATTCCCAGCATTAAGCTCTAACCTTCACATTTAGTCTATCGTGGATTCTTTCAAACCAACTTAAGAAACAAAAGGAGGCCCTCAAAAGAGCCCATCTCATTTATTAGTCTTCCCTTACAGAGGTCTGCTATCAAGTTCTGGATGGCTCTTGAATTTCCAGATCAAAGGTGTTATATAAACCAGGATGAATTTGAAATCGTTTTAGAGGTGAGAACTTTTCACAACTGAAATCACTTGCGACATGTTGATGAATATTCTCAAGCAACTAGGCAGGGTCGCCTGAAGGTTATCTGAAGTTGCTGGAAGGCTGAATTGTTGCAAGGATTCGCACTCCCAACCGTTTCAGACAACCTTCGGGTCACCTCCCAACATCTAACCGGATTCAAATCTACGATTATTTTAGCCATTTTGAATTCCTCTCAAGTGGGTGACTCAGCAAACTAATCTCAGATGAATGGCATTCTAGACCAAGATCAGCCAGAGCTATTATTAACCAGACTGTGTGTTTTATTTATAATTTTAAGGATACCTGATGGAAACCTTCTTTTGTGGGGGGGGGCTTAAATAAATATATCATTTCCTGGCAAGGGTTTTCAAACTGCAATTAACTTTCTCTCCAGGAAGAGCTAACTGAAGTGTGCCAAAATGAAAATACAGGTTGAAACGCTCCATAAGGCAAAATTGCAGACAGCAAAATTGTTATCTATTTCCATCCCCTTGGAAAAACAACGGCAACAGCAATAGCACTAAAGATCATTCATTTGGTTAAATATATATATATCCTACGAACTGTGTGTATATATTGCTTCCACCAAAATGCTTACTGGGCACATCCAAATATGGAAAAAGCACATGATAAAAATTCACCCTCAGTAAACTAACAGCTCTCACAACATAAAGCCCACAGCCTTCGCACCGGGCCTATACATTGGAACCAAATTTGCACATTTAAGAAGAAAAATGCAAACATAAAGAGTTTTTCCTCTGTTTCAAACTACTTAGGAAAGCCATATTCCTGAGATAGCATCTGCATTCACCAGCACACACATTCTCTATAATGGAATTTCAGCCATGCTGCTCTAGATAATGCAGTTATTTACTATAGCTGGACTGTGACAACACAGTTAAACGGCTTCTTCCCCACAAGATAAATGCCGAAAAGAATTGCCTAATTCAGAACCAAATATTCTTTCTTCTGGGCTGGTAAGGTCAGATCAAAAAGAAGAAGAGACTATCTACTGAGCGACTGAACAGGTCAAATTTGGGAGTGCTACATCTATATATTGAGTTTGACTCTCTCTCTCTCTCTCTCTCTCTCTCTCTCTCTCTCTCTATATATATATATATATATATATATATATATATATATATATATATATATATATATGGCCACCAGTCTCCTAGCAGGTGCCTTTGATGCAACTTAAATTGGTGGAAGAAATCACAAAACAGGTCAGGCTGAATGTTTCCATAAAGAGGCGGTCTCCAAGGACTTTTTGGATTTAATGAACGTTTTCTTCCCACTCTTCAGAGGAAGAGTGAAAAACATCAAACAAGGAGGCCTGGCTATTCCTCCTCAACACGATCAAGAGTGTGTGACACCGGTATTCAGTATTAGTTGCACCGCAACTGAAGGACCTATTAAATGAAGACTCACTGACCTCTGGTTTGTAGAAAAAAAATGAGCTATTGTAACTCCAGATTATTTTGCCTTTCTCGGGGCTAGACCAGGTTAATGGAATTGGGAGTGCCACAGGCCAGGGAACAGTGTTTTTAGTTGCAATCTGCCATCAGAGAGGGAGAATTCAAATGCTTTCAGATGGGCTCTTGGGAGTCAAGGGCAATAAATGCAGCCACAGTGTTCTCTGGGATCAGATTCTGGAAAGGGACCTCAAAAAAAAAAAAACCTGGGTAAAAATCGGTCCTGCTTCTCCCATGGAATGGTTCCCAAGAATGGGAGAAGCTGTGTCTGGCAGGATTGTCATTTTGCAAAAGGGAATATTGGTTGCGAAGATTAGTTCTTTCAATAATGAGCTTTCTGGACAGAAATCCCTCAATATTGGGGCTTTGGAATCGTCAAAAATATTCAGAAAGAATCACATTCCCTTGCAGTTTGTAGTTATCCCTGGTCCTCGTGACATAGAGATGTGTTTGTGCAAAGGCATGGATATTCTGAGCAATGAGGCTCTGAAAAAGGCTGGGTCCCTCTTCACTTTTTGTGTTTTGTAGGGCATGTGGCTTATGAATGATATTCTGATTTCCATCATGGAAAACCCATAAGGTAACTTCCCTCTCTTTTCTATGCATGACTCCAGAGTCTGCAAAGTGAACCAGAAATCATACAGTGCTAATAAATAATGTGCATTTCTTCTAGTGGCCTAATTTATATCATGCTAATCTTGGCAATTAAACCCAAGAAGTATTCAATTTATTTTACAGGTTAAGGTTATTCCATCTTCTCCCAAATTTTCCATTGAAATTTTTTCTCTCTCTCTCCTTCTCTCTCTTCTTCTCTCTCTCTCTCTCTCTCTGTCTCTCTCTCTCTCTCTCTCTGGCAGATACAGAAATGAAACTGTAGGGCTGTCACTCAAAAGCTCTGCTGTCCCATGCAACTGAACCAAGTTTCAGCCTTTTGCAAGTGTGACTATGTGATTTGTTGTTTTTTTTTAAATAATTACATCATTCCCCTTATGTGTTTGCCTGTGTTTGTAAATGGGGGACAGTTGTACATTTAATTGTGGCTTTCTGCCAGCATTTGGCTCAATATGACAGGGAAGGAAGCTAAATTCGGTGACACCTCTGTTAATATCCAGCATTTATACACTGCCTGTGAATAGGAATCCACTTCTACGAAGAGCAATTGTTTTTCCACTTTTAAGCACCCTGGCTTATACAACAGCAGGATAAAGAATGGAAAAAGGGGGCCTGATTATTATACAATACCTGTTACCCCACTTACATTCTTGTTCCT